CGCGTCAACCTAATCAAATGGCGAGCTAGCTTGGAGAAATCTTTCACAAACCGCGGTAATTCCCAGCTAATCCAGAAAACTGCGGATTCTCAAAAACGCTCTTAGGCTGTGCCAATCTTGCATGCTCTACCTTGGATGTCAACAGACACCCTTCACCGGATACCCACATGGCCTAAGATTTGACCTCCCAGCAGAACTCACACTTCCAACTTGGCATACCAGCCTATGGGCTCTAAGCAATTCAAGCACCACACTCAAGTGTTGTCCTCGTGCTCCTCCTCAGAAGGCGAATAGATAGAATGTCGTCCACGAAAAACGACTACAAAGCGGTCTAAGAATTCCGGAAGATCCGGTTCATCAAATCCATAGAGACTGCCGGTGCATTGGTGAGCCCAAACGGGATCACCGAAAACTCATAGTGCCATACCGCGTACGGAATGCCGTCTTTGGAATATCTCCTCCCTGACCCTCAACTGGTGGTAACCCGATCTCAAGTCTATCTTAGAGAAACAACGGGAACCTTCAACTGGTCGAACAGATCATCTATACGGGTGCATAGGGTACTTATTCTTGACCGTAGCCCGATTTCAACTTCCGGTAAGTCTACTACCAATCCAACCGGCACGATCTTTTTTTTAGCAAAGAGGGCCGGTGCTCCTACCGGCGAAATACTAGGGCGAACAAAACCCTTATCTAGCGCAATCCTGGAGCTAAGAATCTATCCAACTCACTCAACTCGGCTGGGGCAAAACGATAAGGTGCCATAGAAATCGGCGCTGTGCTGGGCACTAAATCAATAGAGAACTCTATCTCTCGGTGAGGTGGCAAACTAACGAGATCCTCGGGAAAAACATCTGAATACTCACAAACCACCCTCGGCAATACAATCTGGGTCTCATCACACTCACCACTCAAAAAGCTAGCAAGTAGACCACTAAGCTCACTCCGCCCTCGCGGATCATACAACAGTGGCAATACACTACCAACCCAATCCCTCAAGAAATGGAAACACTCCCCGCTCAAGGTACAAACAGTGACCCTCTGGCGGTAGCAATCAATAACAGTCCGGTATGACGATAGCCAGTCCATACCCAAAATAACATCAAAACCCTTCATGGGCATGATAACAAAAGGAAAAGGAAGCCTATGGTCGGCGACCTCTATATCATAACCTCGGACACCTTGTTTCAAGATCAACTCACCACCAACAGGCGATACTACACATATAGGAGATGCTAACTGTGCCAACTCCAATTCCAAAACAGATGCAAATGCAGCAGATACAAAAGAATGAGATGCACCCATATCAATCAATACACTAGCAACCGAGTTGCAAAACAGAAAGGTACCTTTCACTACTGATGGAGTAGGCACAAGATCTTGTGCGGTAACAGCATACACGCGCCCAGTAGGCCCCTAATCCAACTGCTCACCCCTCGGAGCATACGACTGTTGTACAGACTAGGACGATGAAGCCCCCTGATTGGCCCTCGAGGCCTGCACAGACTGAGCTGGCTGAAAACCCTGCGTCTACCTAGAACCAGACACGCCCGAAGTGGCACTCAACTGTGGGCAAAACCTCTTCAGGTGCCCAGGCTGACCACACTGATAACAAGACAATGGCTGACCCCTACCCTGACTCTGGCTCTGCAGTCTAGCTGAAGATGAAGCAGCTCTCTGACCTCCTCCCCTCAGTGGGCAAACTGAAGCCTTGTGGCCCAACTGACCACACTTGTAACAGGTGAACTCCCCCTTATTACCTCTTCCCGAGCCTGTACTCGGCACCAGAAAGGTCGATCTAGCAACACCCCCCTGAGACTGCTGAGGGTTAGCACTCCTCTGCCTCCTGCCATCACCCTGGCCATCTTGGCTCCTCTTGGAGCCTCTCTGTCCATCCTCTTCCTGCATCATGATCTCCATATGGGCTACAGCATCAACCAAGCGCCTATAATCTCGGATCATCGAACCTCCAACCCTCATCTTGAGGCCGCGCCTCAACCTCTTCTCGAACTCAACACAGCGGCGTTCCTCGGACGCCACAAGTTCAGGTGCAAACCTGGACAAGCTAGTGAAAGCAGCCTCATACTCGGCTACTGAAGAACTCAATTGCAAAAGCTGACAGAACTGGTCTCTCAGCTTCTCCCTGACTGCTGGAGACAAATACATCTCCTAAAAAGCCTCCACAAAAGCCTCCCACATGCCAGCAATACGGCCTCTCATGTATTTCCACCACTGACCCGCACCCCTTTTTAGCTGGAAGGATGCCAAGGTCACTTTCAACGCTCCGTCCTCGATGCCAAGCATCTCAAACGTCTTACTCATTTGCTCTAGCCATTCGTCAGCCTTCAGTGGCTCCTTCGGATCCCCAATAAACTCGTCTGGGTTAGACCGGAAGAACTCCCTTTTTAAGAAGGAAGGCCCTGCCTCAACAACCTGGGCCTAGACTGGAGCCTGAACTGGATTCTCAGCTCGAAAAATACCCACAGACTCCCTCAAAGCATCGGCTATCCCTCGGGCTAAAGCGCCCATAGCCTCCTGACCTGCTGGCTCGGCCACATTGGCCTGGCCAACCCCCTCCTGCTGTGTCGAAATATCATCCGGTAAAGGCATCTCCTGCCTAGCACGTCTGCCTCGTCTACCACGTCCTCGTCCTGACATCCTAATAAAGGTAACGAAGAACGTTAGCACATTCATAAATGTGCCAAAACTAAACACTCGCTTCCTAATACATGGACAACTGTAATTCACTCCACGTAAGCACATAAACACATAAGCACTTACGAATTTCATTTCCGGATAATGATAGTCCTGAGGCGTTACTAGAGTTCCGGCCAGAAACAGCATTGATCAAGTGCTTTTCCAATAAGACTCCCAGAAATCCAAGGATCCAATCAATATCCTAGAAACTACATTCCATACTCACATAGTCACATAAGCATGTTATCAATTAAGCACATAGCACATGACACTACATTTAAGTCTCTATCAAGCGAGACAAACCCATTGTAATCCTAATCACTTCCCACGTACCCAAAGTATCCGAACCCGGTACGCTCTGATACCAAGTTGTAACGCCCTAAAAAAAAAAACATTTAATCCCATCACTTTAGACATGCATTGACATAAAAGAAATCAACCATCTTTCTATTAATTAGAGTAATTCTTACAAAAGTATTACATGTTAACAACAAAAGCAAATGCCCTACGAGCTTACAGCTTTCCAAGTTAACACTTGGTTACAAAAAGAAGAGTGCTAACTCAATACATATTAGGCCTTTGGCTTGAATTTACATGTAATACATCAAAAGAAAGCAAATAGAGAGCATCAGCATCAAATCCTTCCTCCATCAGTCTCAACAATTTTTTTGTAAATTAACGTTTTGTTAAATTTGCTACAGTACCTCAACAAAAATAAAGAGGCACTGTCCATTAGCTACATTATTTTTTATTATATTTTCTAGAGCAAATTTGGGCAAAAATCTTTAAACCAGTCGTCCACCCGGATATCCTACCGGGTGTTCCGTGAGTGCTTGTAGCAGAAGAAGAAAAATGTCGAAAATTAGCCTAACCGGTCGACCAGCCGGTTGACTGGTCAAAGACATTTTTTTTTTTTTTGGCATTTTTTAAGAATTGTTTTGTGACACCTCATCAATTTAATAAAAAAAAGAATAACACATACAATAAGAAATTAATATTTTTATAAGATTGAGTTAAAATAGAGAGTCTGATGCAGTGAATACGAAAAATGTGACTAAGTAAAATAGAAAAAATGAATTTTGCGTTTAATTAACCTAAAAATTTGAAGAGGCAGATGCGGATGCTCTAACAATAGTTTTTCTCACTAGCATTTGAAATTAGATTTTTATTTCGATCCATAATTGCATCACATAATATTCCAATTAGTGTATTGGTTTCAATATAAACAAAGATGGACCATCTGTATATTGTTCAATAGGAAATAACTCTGCACATGATCAACTTGAACTGATTTATATTATGAACTTGAACTGACCTGAATGTATGGATAAATGCATTCCATCTTGACAAGCTGAAGTTCATACATTTTGACTCAATAGGTTACAAGTTATTTCCTCTGTTTGAATTGCATTTTTATGTTAGTAACTTCTCAAATTGGTTCTGCCACTTGCGTTATGGTTACTTGGTCATCCCATGGATGTGCAGGTGGATACAGCTGCAAATGTCCAACCTGAAAATGTGGAAACCATTTGGAACTTGAGAGGGATACTGAACACTTCATGGCACCGTGTTCGTGTTCGAGTTGGTCACTCTAACATGTAAGTTGAAATAGAAGAGAACTAAGGCCATCTGCAGAAAGATATTTGTTTCCCACATGCTTGAAATGTACCAAAAAACCGTTACTTTCCGCTTGACAAAACACTATTTCTTGGGTCTTTGAAGGTTTCTTTACCATGCTAGTGTTTTGCATTTTTGTCTTTTGTTTTTTTGTTTTTTTGTGGTTGGTTTATGTGACCCACACCCTTGCTTGCCTAACTGGGGGCATGTCAAGTTGGGTTGAGATGGGTTTCTCATATTATGCATCACGCCAAAACGTTACTACGTGCTCTTGGAGTACACGATCACACGATTGTGACTTTGGATGTGTTGGGATAATGTTCTAGGAGCACACAATAATTTTTCCCGTCAAGGTAGATCACCACGTGCGCCACGTGCACCGCGTGCTACCTTACCACATTGTCACCTACCATTTCTGTGTTCTCATTATGGTGGAAGCATCCAGATACCAGAAGGCGGGCATTCCATACATTGCTGATAATGCAAGTAGTGACAAATGGGCCTGGGTGTTTTTTGAGGCAAACGTTGATGTCCCTATGACTGCTGAGATAGTTGCTAAAGCGGTATGTCTTATTTGTTTCTTCTCATTACAGCATAACCTGCTTATATTTTGCATTTGGAAATTGTACTTTTTGGCACCATCCAATGAAGACTATGTGAAAGACTGTCAGGGGAAGAGAGAGAGAGATATTGTAAAAGTCACCATCAAGTGGGAACGATCAGATTGGTGACAGCCTGCTGATTTCTGTCAAGATCAACATGAACTCATCAAATTGGTTACAATATGTGAACCTGTTGTTGACCCAATAACCTTTTGGCCCTGGTATGGCCAGCACTTCGTTTGCAGGCCATGTGGTACCTATTGATTTGTCAACCTGGAAGTTAGGTTCAAGTCCCTTTGTAGGGTTTGGTTTGGTTTGGTTTGGTTTGGTTTTCAGCAGGGGGTGGGTCTGGTCTGGTTTGGTTTGGTTTCCAATGGTGTGCCATAACAGTAAACATGGCATAGACAAAAAGACAGCAAAGTAGACAGAAAGACCTAATTGTGGCTACTTAAGAGCATCTGCATCAGGCTCTCTACAATAGCTTTGAAGCTATTGTAGACCATCAGCATCAAATCCTTCCTCCATCAGTCTCAACAATTTTTTTGTAAATTAACGTTTTGTTAAATTTGCTACAGTACCTCAACAAAAATAAAGAGGCACTGTCCATTAGCTACATTATTTTTTATTATATTTTCTAGAGCAAATTTGGGCAAAAATCTTTAAACCAGTCGTCCACCCGGATATCCTACCGGGTGTTCCGTGAGTGCTTGTAGCAGAAGAAGAAAAATGTCGAAAATTAGCCTAACCGGTCGACCAGCCGGTTGACTGGTCAAAGACATTTTTTTTTTTTTTTTGGCATTTTTTAAGAATTGTTTTGTGACACCTCATCAATTTATGTGTATCCCTCATGAATTTTGAAAGTGTTTTAAAGATGAGTCTAAATCTCATTAAGTTATTTGGCTAGGTGTTGAGCCTTGTTTTCAAACTCAAAGTTGGAAAAGACATGGGAAATGAAATGTAGCATGGACTTAATGTCATGAAATCGAAATGTGATATATGCGGATGTATCTGTGTTGACCATCTATCAACTGCTAATCTTTTAGTCATTGTTCATGGCTAGTTTAGTGTATTTCTACTGGGCTGTGGCTCACCCTTTATGGGACATCATTTTCAAGTACAGGTAGCATGCCACCTCCAAGGACATAGCTTGGGAGGCTAGAGGCAGACAGACCGTTTTTGTTGTTTGCTTTCTTTTGATGTCTAACATGTAAATTCAAGCCAAGGGCTTATTATGTATTGAGTTAGTACTCTTCTCTTTGTAACCAAGTGTTAACTTGGAAAGCTGTAAGCCCGTAGGGCATTTGCTTTTATTGTTAACATGTAATACTTTTGTAAGAACTACTCTAATTAATGGAAAGATGATTGGTTTCTTTGTATCAATACATGTCTAAATTGATGGGGTTAATGTTATTAATTTGAGGGCGTTACAATTAAATGCATCACATCGATTTTATTTTATAGGGGTAGTATGTTGGCCGTGACATGGGTCAACATGAACAGGTGCTATTTCAAAAAACCATGTTCTTGTATAACGTATGGCCCAGAATAATAACAGCTCACAAACGATGCAGAAAAACCAAATCGTGGGCCATACGTAGGTTAACTATTTGCTATTATATATATTTGCTAAGTAAGGATGAAAGTTAGGAAACTAATAAAAAAAACAAGGATCGAATATACTATTAATTATTTGAAAAATTAATCTATTTTTGAAATCGCAGGTTGAACATGTGATTTCACTATTTCATCATAAATTGTATTTTTAACCTGTGATTTCAAGATAAAATTGCATGTTGAAAATGCAATTTTAATTTCAAAATCACATTTTTAAAATATGATTTTAAAAAGTAGGTTAGTTTTCCAAATAATTTGAAAAGTGGGTCAACTCTCTAAACAGTTTTTTTTTTTTTTTTAAATATTTTTTAAAAAAAATATTTGAAAAAAAACTCAGGAAGTAGAGGTAAAAAGATATAAACAAAGGAAGTATGCTAAGTTTTAATTTAATATTCTATCACCAAAATACCACCTAATAAAATTAAAATACAAATATCACTCTCATCAAAATATTTAGGGTAAATTATAAATACATTTTTTGAGACTTATTTAAAATACAAATTGCCCCTGTGATTTGAAAAATTATAAACGCCTCCCTGTGAGAATTTTTTTATTAAACAAAATTAATTAAAAAAGTGAAATTTCTAACTGTTTACCTATATAATAATAAAATTATTTGAATTATTAATTGAAATAAAATTTTAACATTATTAAAAACTGTTTATTAATTTGATAATTTATTAATAAAATGACTTGTTTGTTATGAAATTAGAAACCATAAGGGGGCATAATGTAATTTTTAGAACAGCAAGGAGTAATTTATAATTTAAATAAATTTTAGAGGATGTGTTTATAATTTACCCAAATATTTAATACTTAAAAAATAAGGCATTTCGTAGTAATTGTAGTAGTAGTAGAGGTGATGGTTGATACAGTTATGGTGGCTTCGTGAATGCCATGGATTTGAAATTGTTGGTTAGAGAGAGAGAGGCACTGTAAATTGATGAGAGAGAGAACAATGCAAGAAAAAAATTAGAGAGAAATTCTAATTATTTAACTTTTTTTATTCATTTGAAAAATAAATAATATGTAAAAAATGAAACTTATACATTTTTTAAAAAAATTAAATATAAGCATGTTGTTGTTGGATTAAGAAAGAAATATATACAGTAGTTATGTAGCATATTGATTTTTCATTAATATCTTTTTAAATTAGAAAAAATTGATGATAAATCCAATCTAAGGAGAGTAAGACATTAGTTCTAATGGATATTTTTTTATTGGTGAAAGGTCCACACTTTGTGAAATAATTTGGTTAGAAGTGCTGAAGGACATGTTATTTTCAATTTTACCTATTGACTTTTTTTATATGCTTGACTTTTTATTGACTATCTGTTTAAATTTTTTTAATCTGTTCAAATTTTATTACTATCTGTTCAATTTTTTGCTCTTAAATTCTATCTATCTGTTTACTTTTTTCCTGAATGCTATCTATTTGTTCAATTTTTCTTATCTGTTAAAATAACAATTTCTTATCGGTAGAAGCCCATTTTTCCTATCTGTTTGAAATTCCCAAACTAATTTTTCTCTATGTTAGAATTATCCACCACCAACACTCAAATATTATACAAAAATTCACAAAGTATTATTATCTATTCAAATATTACACAAAGTGAATGTAATTTTTTTTTTAATCCATTCAATACAACAATGATGAATCTATTTTTTTTTATCTGTTCAATCTCTCTCTCTCTCTCTATTTGTTGCTATATGTTTCATCATCATCATTATCAACAACAACAACAGCAAGTTTCAACAACAACAATAATAAAGTCGTTCAAACCAAAAAACAAAAAGAACTAAGGTGAACATCTTCAAATCGATTTGAGAGAAGGAAATAAGATGAACATCAAAGTAGTATCAGCAGCAATTGATTTTTAGACAGTCCACTACTGCAAATCCCAATTTTTTCGGCATTTTGCGAACTTTTCTCAATGACCAAACAAAGTATAAATCACCTTGTTAGTGACAATGATTCAGACAGAGTAGCCACAAATTAAGAGCCGGTTCACGATAGCGAGGCCGAGGAACGATACGCCATTGGTGACGCAAACTAGTTTCTCTTTGGCGACGCCGTCGTCTCCGCCTAGCGCCGCTGTCACAGGTTAGTCCCTGAACTCCACTTTGTGTATCCTTGTCTGAACCTCGCCAGCGTAAGATAGCAACATCAGATCTGGGCGGTGGTGGAGCGGCGGTGAGAGAGAGAAGGGAGATGAGCTGCAGAGAGGGAACGAGAGACGTCATGTATATTGCCCGATATTTTTTTGACCACCATTTTTTATGCCATTGATTTAACTGGCTCAATAGAACAAGAGAGCCATTGAGACAAGCGAATGATCTGAAATCGGAGACCGATATGACGACGATGGGGGTAGGAGCGGCGGGGCTGAGGTGGCTGACGAAGGAAGAGCCGGAGCTGGTGCTGCGGTGGTGAAGTTGAAGTTCATGCTCTACAAAGTCGTCGACAAGCTCATGGAGGTGCTGCGGTGGAACAATTTGGTTTCTGGAAAGAGCGAGCTAGAGAGAAAATAGAGAGGGAAAATGGGTTTGAGAGTGTGTGAAATAAGGATGAGAGAGAAAAGTAACATTAAACAGATAGAGAGAAAGATGGAGGAGAAACGCATGAATGGATGGATAGTTTGGTCATTTTGTATAGGCAAGTTCTTATGGACACACAGTATTTCAGTGTGTAGGCTTCTGGACAAATATCAGTTTAAAAAAAAAAAAAAAAAAAGACTTCTGAACAAATAAAAAAATACAAATTTGAATTTATGGGCCGAATAGCCTTTAAACTATTCATACATATTGTATATAATTATATATATACATAGATCCATGTATATAAAGTTAAATTAAATATAAATTTTTTGTAATAAAAAATTTCATATTAAATAAGAAACTCAATAAAATTAATAATTAAAATACAAATAAGGTAGATGTAAAAGTAAGAAATATATTTAATATTTAATTTAAGTAAATTGAATATTTGAATAAAAGAAAAAAAATATAATGAGTACTTACAGATTAAATAGAAATATTTTAAATAAGGATATATTGTTGTGACATTTGTTTAAAAAAAAAAAACAGAAAATTTTATTTTGGGAAAAAATAAATAAATAAGAAAAATGCGTCACATGGAAAGGCAAAAAACAAAGATAACAATGTTTTTAATAATATATACTCTCTCCGTTTCAAAATAATAATTTTTTTTGAGAAATTTAATTTTTTTTTGTTATACAATTATTACACTTTAAAAAAATTAATTTTTCAAAATTATCCTTTGATATTACATGTTTTGAAAAATATCAATTGTCATAATTATATTTTTTGTGTTGTTAATGAATTTAAAAGAATGGCAAAATAAAATATTTATATTATTTTAGTCCTTAGTTTTTGAAAATAGACTAATATTTTAAGATAATAAAAAATAAAATAAGGGACTCATATTTTTTGAGACGGAGGGAATATATAAATAATATGATATAATGGTATAATATATATATAGTGTCTTTTTTAAAAAAAATTTAAAAGTAAACACTATTTTTTCTAATTGTTTTTTAAGCAATGTAAAGTCCAGCCTTCATTGTTTATGATGTGGCACGATATGAGCCATAGAATAAGTGCATATCATATGCCCTTTTATAAGGTGCACATTGTAGACTTTTCCTTGTTTTTTAAGCAATGTAAAGTCCAGCGTAAGAGGGATAAGCTTATTTTCATAACTCTATCTCCCCATATTTTTTTACTCTTTTTATGGGTTTTAATTTAAATCTATATTAATGATCCGAACTATTTATCTCTTAGGCACCGTAATGAAGGTAATCTCTATAAAAAATTACAAAAATTACCTTTATTACGGTGCATTTTGTTTTATAAAATGCATGATTTAAATTTAATTATATTTACTATTTATTTTATAAAATAAAAATGTGATTGTTCCCCTTTTTGTAATTGTCCAATATAACTTTTTTTTGCATGAATGACTTTCATTACAGGACTTACAAAATAGACAATTTAAATCATCAATGTAGATTCAAACTAAAATTCATAAAAAAAAATATATAAAAAAATATGAAGTGATAAGGTATGAAAAGAAGTTTAACCTTTAGGTAAAAACTCCAACCCCGTGCGAAGGGTGTTTCACAATACCCAAACTCAATAAACTTGTTTTTTATTCATATTTTTCATTTCAATCCAATAATTATAAAGGGTTGGGCTTTTTTAGAGTCTGTATCAGATTGGAGGATACTGTTAGATCTATAGGAGTCCACTACGGGTTTTGTTTTAATAATTTGAACCATTTAATGTGTAAAACTCATTAACTATTATATGCTTGTAAAAAATCATATTAATCGGATATCGATAGCTATTTTATCAGATCAGATTTCAGTCAACCGTTTATTTTTTCACCGTCTATTTTTTTATACAAAACTAATTTGATTTAAAATATTTACAATTTCACCCATGTAGCACATTTTGACTCATGAGGGGTGGAATTATAATTTCACCAGTGGCTGAAAATCAACTTCTCAAATGAAAAAAAAATACAAAAAAACTAACTTTTAACTTTTGCTATAAACCTAAAAAAATGACTGAAAACTATAGTGTCATGACATTGCACGTTACATTGCATCCGAGTTTGAAAAACACAAGTTGAGAGTATGTTCTCCCTCTCTTTCTCTACCAATGTGTGTTTTGGGGTTTGTGATTCACTGAAGGCAATTGTATGATGTTATTGATGTTTATTTATTTCTCATGGTACAGTTGTTCAAGATGGAAGATGTGAGCATAGGCATGTGGGTAGAGCAGTTTAACAGTTCCATGCCAGTTGAGTATGTGCACAACAGGAAATTCTGTCAGTTTGGTTGCATCGACAATTATTATACAGCGCATTATCAGTCTCCAAGACAGATGATGTGCATGTGGAACAAATTGCAACAAGAAGGGAAAGCCCAGTGCTGCAACATGAGATGACCATGGTCGTCATCATGAGAGGTTAGCCTAAATCTTTTAAGCTAGGATGGGGACAAGTTTTGCAGTCATAGCTTGTATATGTTAGTGTTGTTAACATTAGAATATTGGGGCTCTCTTCTGTTTACTTTTTTAATCTATTCATTATTCAATTTTTTTCTCTTTTTTCCCTTTCTAAGGCCCTCTCTTTTGGCTTGACTGGAAGATATTGGAGGAACAAGGTTGCTACTGGAAATAGGTTGGGAACAATCTTTAATGATTTGGGTTCTGTATCTAGAGTTGAAAAACAACAAAGCAAAAACAGAAATGATTATTTCATGTTTAATTTCTTTGATTTCAGAGTGAAATTTCACTAAGAGAAATTTCGATGTGCAAAGTTAGTAAAATGTATTTTTTTTTACACTAGAAAATCTAAAATTGATTGTTGATTGCAAAAATTAGGTGCTTAATTCTAAATTTATTACTTAAAATTGATTGTTGATTGCAAAAATTAGGTGCTTAATTCTAAATTTATTACTAAAAAGTGCAAATTGAAGGTTCCAAAATAACAAATTTCAAATTTTTTTTATATTAAATTAGTAAAATTTTACTGTATATATAGTGAAATTTCTTTGACTCTGCACAGTGAAATTTTAATGTGCAAAATGAGTGAAAAATACTATTTGAACTCTAAAAGATAAAAAAAAAATTGAAAGTCAATTGTAATAGTTAGGTCCGTAATTCTAAAAAAATTCACTGGTTGACGCCAATGTAATTGTACAAGTCAAGTGAAATATCATAGGCATCAATCAGAAATTGATAGACTTGGAAAAATTTCACTAATTGAAGGGAGTACAATTACACAAGTTAGAAACTGAGTCAATGAAATTTCATTGATTGAAACCAATGCAATTGCACTAGTCAATGAAATTCACTGACTAAATTCTAGCAAAAATCTAAAATCAATGAACTTGAAAAAATAAAAAAACACAACTTAAATAACATAATCAAATCTTTATCAATCAATAACATATAAACCAACAAGATCGATAGTAGATGGATGGTATTGGAGAGAGAAAGAAAGAGAGAGAGAGATATGAAGCAAACAATGGGATCAACTACATCTAAATTAGAGATGTGCGAACGGTAGTAAATGTTGGTTAACGGTAGAGTGAGTTGTATTGAACGACGGTGGAGCAATATTGATGGATACAACGATCGTAATGTCCCAAATTCCAGGCCCGTAATAAATTAAATAAACCTGAAATTTATAATTTCAGATAACTAATAACTTCAAATGTACAAATCATCTCAAAAGATAATTTACACAGATGTCTTCAAAATATAATTTATATAATTGTCTCCAAAAAATAATATAAATTGGTAAGTCCAAAATATCTAAATTAATAAATCCCTTTAAATGCTTTAACCCCAATCGCCACTAAATTTGTTTCGCACTTAAAAAATAAATTTACTCGACAAGTATACAATACGACAGGAATAACAATTTTCGGATAGAGAATAAAATGACAAGGATCCAACAAATTTACAACATCGCACAAATGATTTGATTCGATAATCAAACAATTTATCAAATTATATAAACAAATCAATTTAATGTATGATAACTTGCCCGTGACTAAATATTCAATCATACTCAGTACATGACCAGTGACCGACCTCACTCACCTTATCCAAGCACAACCGCTTATCCGAACATATTGGTGTTGCTTATTAGCAAGGTCCACTTGATCTATGTACGGAAGATTTTCACGTCATTTAGTCAACCAAATCAACATTTCAATATAGAAGAACTTTACAGAATTTAATCAATTGAATAGAATAATCAAATGTATCAACATAGAATGATTTCACAAAATTTATCAAATGACCAATATAACAAACGAAGTACAAATTGAAAGTAATTAAAATAAAACTCTTTGCGAAGAGATTTAGACGAAGCATTTTGTATACCACTAAAATTACTTCAAAACAATTTCCTCTGTCACCAATACTTTAATCATCTAATATTTCACCATAGATTTTAAAAATGGTAGATTAAAACTAGGGGTGCAATTTGGGCAAGCTCAATCCGAGCTCAGCCGGAATTTTTTTAGGGTTTGAACAAAATATTTTTTAATTTGGTATGAGTTTAGATAAGGCCGAATTAAATTTAGATGAGCTTAGGCGAAGACATCAAATAATCCGAACAATCCAAAATCCGAATTATATATAAATTATTAGCCATTGGATAATATGAAAACAATTTAAATCATTAGATCATATTTAATATATATTATATACATAAGTAACACAATATAAAATCTTACTCTTTTTTTTTCCTTACTCATAAATTGCAAATACTACCATAACGACATTTTTCTTATATTGTATAATTTTTTTTTGATATTATTAATGATTTTATAAAAAAGAAGAAAATAGTTTAATTTTGACAAATTAATTAATTTAGTTGAACGAAAAAAGTAAAATTGAAATATTTTATGTATAATTCAGGCAACTCGGGTAATTTGGGTTTAATTCTGGTTCGGCTTGGACAAAGAATCTCGAGTTACAATTTGGGCTTAGACAGGTCAGAGCAACTGTCAGCATAACTTGAGTTAGATTTGGATAGCATCTCAATCCGTCTGAATCTGTCCGAGTTGCACCCCTAATTAAAACTCTAAAGCATAATATAGGTAAGGTTTAATAAAATTTACAACTCTCCTCTTAAATTAAATTGCTAACTATCTCATTTTGGAAAGTGGGGTAAAAGTTATTTCCCAACTTTTAACTAACTTCTCTTTCACAAAAAAGTTAAAAAATAATTTTTAACTATCTTCCCAAAATACTTAAATATTTTCAAATTAAATTCAAAATTTATATTATAACAATATAATGGAGAAAGAGAACAATTTAAGAGAGAGAGAGAGAGAAAGAAGAGAGAGAGAGAGAGAGAGAGAAAGAAGAGAGCTGAAGCAGAAGATGGGAAAGTCAGATTTGGGCTCTCAATTTAGTACAACTACACGCCGAAACGTGAGACTCCCACAAATCTGAATCACTTATGATGTGAATTTGACACATATATGAGTAAATTTTATATATATATGGAGGGTTAAAATCACTTTCAAAGGATAGGGATCATCTCAAAAGGAGTCTCAAACATTTTTTCTCAATTTATAGGTAACTGGAAGGAAAAGTAACAAATAAAAAAAGAACAAAAAAAAAATGAAAAGAAAATAAAAGAAGAGACAAAGGAATGTGATGGGCATGGTCATGGCAGTGATCTTTTTTTTTTTTTTTTTTTTTTTTTTTGTTTGAACGGATGGCAGTGAGCTTGCCGCCCACGTTTTAATATATATAAATATAGAATGGTATTGGGATGGGGATGGGGATGGGGATGGTGAATGCGACGGGCATGGTCATGACAGTGAGCTCCTTTTTTTGTTTAATTAGGTCATGACTAAGGGTGTAATAATGGTCCGGTCCGGCCGGGCCTATTCGGACTTTGTGGGCTCGCGGTTTTTTTAGTGGGCCGGGCCGGGCCTTGAGTCAAAAAGTGGGCCCAAGCCCAAGCCCAAGCCCACTCCTAATAGGGCCTAAGGTCGGGCTAGGCTTAGTCGGGCTTTTTTTTTAATATTAGAAATTAAAAAAAAAATTATACTAGAGTATTTTAATTACGATTAATGAGATATTTTGTTTGATTATGTAATGTTTTATGATGATATTTAAATTTAATTATATATGACTTTTGTTTTTTTAACTGTGAACTTATAACTAAAAAAGTATGCAATTATATAATTTTTTTTTCTTTCGAAATGAATAATTTTATATATATGAAATTGAAACTTTCAATATTACAATATTAAATTATTTATATAACATTTATTGAATGAATAATTTTTATTTCAAAATCAAATAAAATATTACAAAAATTGATATTATTAAATAAATTAGGTGTAGATTACTGATGATGGTATAACAATTGCATCACTATAGGTCAAGCACATCCCAACTAAGTTGGCACCTACTAGCCTACCAATCATTTGCATTATACTGCACCTCAATAATCTAATACAAAACAAAAATAAAAACAAAAACAAAATGAAATGAAATAGTAAAAAATAAATTGTTGATCAATCATCGGAGAAGACAGACATTTCAATCGCGTTGCCCGATGATATGTCATCTAAATCATATTGAATTCATTCATTTTCACTAAAATTTTGTCTTCTTGTAAGCGCGTGCATATGATCCCTGGATATCATCAATGCCTCAACCATTTCGGGTGAAAGCCTACTCCTGTAGTCACTCAACACTCGTCCACTAGGGGTGTAGAAATGGCTCGAGGCCCGTGGGCGGCCCAAAGCCCGAGGTGGGCCAGGCCCGTTTTGGCCCGATTAAGCCCGGACCTGAGCCCAGCCCAGTACCTTAGGCTTGGGCCTTCCATTTAGGGTCTGGCCCGACCCGGCTCGGCCCAAAAAATTCCAGGCCCTGCGGGCGGCCCAGCGCGGCTCAACCATCAAACACTCTCTCCACCAATGACCAAATTTCAAAAAATAAAAATAAAAAATAACTTATAATAGTTCAATAATTAAAAAAAATAAAAAATAAAATAAATAAAAAGATTAATCTTATAAAAATAAAATAATTAAATAAATAAAAAGATTGATCTTATAAAAATAAAAAAAATTAAATAAAAATTAATATAATTAAATAAATAACATTAATAATTTAAAAATAAAACAAAAATTAATAATAATTTATTAAATTAAAATCAAATTAATAATTGTTTGATAGAAAATGATGATGTATCACGCCAGTGTGCCACCATGCCCTGCCACACTGTGGCTGGCAGTGGCAGGGCACAGTCTGTGTGTGGCTAGCCTTCATTTTTTATTTTTTTAAATTTCTTACTTCATTGTTTGATGAGAAAGTGTACCTAACGTGAAAGGAAAAAAAATATATATATATATTTACTAAGTTGGAAGGTAATATTGGGCCCATGAGGGCTCACCACGAGTCCGATTTTGATAATCCGAACCGTTCA